CGCCACGAAGACCTGCAGGGACACCCCGAGCTGCGGCGCGCTCAGCCCCTGGCTCGGCAGCCGCCGCATCACCCGCACCAGCGCGCGGATCAGGCGCTGCACCTCGGCGCCGCGCAGCAGCGCGGGCTCCACGGCGGCGGCGGCGCCGCGCAGCACCGGGTGCCCGGCCTGGCACACGCGCTCGTAGGGCGGCTGCGGGGGCGCCACCAGCGGGCGCCCCAGGAACCCCCAGCAGTTGCGCGGCTTGGGCGGCCCGGCCTGGAGGCCTCGGAGCTGCGCCCGGGCCGGGCGCCAGCGGCTCAGCGCGTGCGCGAAGGGCGGCCGAGCGCCGCACGCCGCCATGCCGGGACCGGGACCGGGGACGCGCGCGCTCCACGGGCCCGGCCTGCGCATGCGCCGCGCTCACGTGTAACAGGGCCGCCGGTCCCCACCGGAAGTAGCGGAGCATGCCGGGAGTTGTAGTCTCCTGCGGCACAGGGCGGGGTCACCGGCTCCAAGCCAAGGGGGGAAGGGGATTAGAGGGGTTTGCAGGGGGGTTGCAAGCACTCCGGGGGGAGGGTTCCCCAGCTTGGGGCCCTGCGGCAGGCAAGGGGCGCTGCAGGGCACCCCGCTGTGGAGAGCAAGAGCAGCCCCATACCCTGGTCTCTGGGGGCAGCATGATCCATCCAGGTCCCTGCGGTGATGGGCCTGTCCCCGTCACTAGGTCTATCTGCCAGCCCTGCCCCCCAGTGTGGGGAGTGGGGTGTCACATGCCTTGACACAACGGCAGGTTGGGGATAGATCTGCTACATAGGCCACCCAGCAGCCTCTGGTCATTCTCCATCTCACGTTGCCCATGGCACTACACTTTCCAAAGGAGGGCATCATGGACCCCTCGGCACACAGGGAAACCACAGGAGGCGGGGAAGAGGCATGCCCAAGGACACACATTCATGCTTCTCGCCCTCCAATTGCCTACAAGCCCCTGGCCCTGCTCTAAGCCCCCAGCTAGCAGCCCTCCACCACCCTCTGCTTGAACCCACCCCCACATAGAAAGGGGCAGGGGAGGGGGGCATAAGCCATCCCAGCTTGGTTTTGAATGTTAGGTGTTGTAGGGATCCTCACCCTGTGTGAAGTGCTGGACTAAGCCCCAAGCTGAAGGTTCCAGAAACCCACTTCTTCATTTACACATAGAGCACATGAAAAGAAAAAACAAAGGCACCTGAGCGCCTGGCCAGGGCCAGGGCCAGCTCCTCCCCCACTCAGCCATGCCCTGAGATGGGCCTGTACACCACAGCACCTCCTCCCTCGCAGTGCACACTGCAGAGTTCTTTATGAAAAATACACTGATTTTTCTCTCTGGCGGTTGCCTCTTGAGCTACCAGAGGTTTGAGCCCAAAGCTCAGAGGGGATAATAGCAGCAGCTCAGCATCTGTGAATATCTTCAACAGCTGAGTCCTTGTCAGGCTGGGGAGGGATATGACAGACCATCCCTGCACAGTATGCCCATAGCAGCTGCTTGCAGCCAGGGCTGGGGGAAGCAGGTACAGCACAGAATACATTAATGAGCTTTATTTATACAATGATCAGCCTTTTTCAGAGGTATGTGCGTCATTGAACCTGCTTTCCAAGTGCGAAAGTATTCACTCTCTTTATACTACAGGTTGTCGAGAGCCCGGGCCTGGGCCCAGCCTCCTTCCCCCAGGACCAGGAGACCTGCAGGGGCCCTTGCCCACACTTGATGGGTACAGTGAAGCCAAGGAAGTAGTTACAGATGATGCAGCTTGTAATGCTCTGTACAGTTCCCATCAGCAGACGCAGCCAATGCTCCTGCTCATCTCCATCCACACCCCCACACTCAGTGCCATTGTTCAATACCAGCGCTGCTACGTGCAAGACTCGCCCAGGCTTCTGCAGAGGCCAGAATCACTCAGTATATGCACGCAGCGCAGCATGGCGGGCAAGCTGGGGCAATCCCCTCCCCCTGTTAGGTTGTGGCTACTGGGACATCAGGCTGCAGAACAGCCATTGTGTTCACACTGCTCTCCTCTCCAGCCACCGGAGGCAGCTGCGCACTGGGTTCTACTCCCTGCTCTGGCCCTGGAATTTCTGGTGCAGGTGCTGGGCTCTCCTGGGCCAGTTCCTTCTCGTCTGGAGTGAACATGGCCTCTCTCTTTGGCAGGATGAAGGCGAGTGGCTCCTTGATCACATTCACGTCCACACAGCCAAGGCTGCCGTACTTGTGCAGCTGAGTGGGAGGAACACCTGGCCAAGAGAGCAGAGAGTTAACTCACCCAGAGCCCACCTGGAAAGGGACATGGGGACAGTGACGACATCACACAGCTCAGGCAGGGATCCTTGTAGACTTCACTGGGGGAGCTCTGAGCACTCCAGCCAACGGATGTCCCATGGGAACCAGAGCAGGGCAGTGAAGGGGTCAAAGACAAGGGTCTCTGGGACCCACCCTGCTCAGCAGATATGCCCTGGCTCTGCATGAGAGCAGGCACTTCCCTCATACTTCTCTGCTGAGGGAAGGAGGAATTCTTACCCAGGGTCTGTGCTATCTGGGCTGGGGGAAAGAGGACGTGGAGGCAACGGTTAAGGTAGGGGAGCAGGTCTTCCAGGAACACTGTACAGAACTGAGCAAAAAGCTCCTGCTCCCGGCTGCTGAAAGCCGCCTCCTCTGCCCGGTGAAAAGCCAGGATTGTTTTAGTCACCTGCAGGAAGGAGAGAGAGAGTGAGCGCGTAAGCACCTTCAGTTCCTCATCCCGCAACCTCCACCCTGCGCAGCTGCACCAAACATTCCCCAAGCTGCTCAAAGTGATGGGACTGGCTCTGGAGAGCAGCCACTGACCCACCACCTTGCCCTACACAATTCATCTTCTGATGCTGGATCCCGAGTCTGATTCAGTTGCCCAATTGTAGGGGAAATGCAGGGGAGGGGAAAGGGGCTCATTCAGCCAACAGGAAGTGGGTGCAGAAGGGAATGGCAAGATCTATCCTCAGCATTCTGACAACCCGGTACAAGAAGCTGAAATAGAGAGAAACAGCCACGCCCTGTCAGGTGCCTGCCTCACCCTGCCAAGGGCAGCCTCCAGGGAAGTCGTTACATCCTGGGCAAGAGCCACAGGGCAGCAGAGACGCAGGTCATTGAAGGCAACCAGAATGTTGTTCAGGAAGCAGGCAAGAGGTGGGAAGTCCAGCAGCACCATGGGAGGCTGCAGGGTTCCTGGCTGGGTGGCTGGCACTGTCACAGGGATGGTGCTGCCCAGGACAGCAGGAGCAGAGATCAGCGTGTAGGAGTTCATCTCATCTTGGAATTTGTCCACTGCTTCCTGAATCGCCTTCCTGAAAGTGCCAAATGCAACTTGCTGGAACACTGGGGCCAGCTGGCCCCGGAAATCAGCTCCCACCCTGCTGAAGGACAGGCCAAAGTACATGCACTGACCCAACAGTGAGTCCAAGCGGCTGCCCACCCCCCGCTGGAGGTCATTGTCCAGAACCTGCAGGAATTGTGAAACCTTCTGCAGCACCCAGCCATGGAAGATGGCACTCTCATTGACCACATGCTCGCCAGGAGGCAGCAACGGCTCCTCGTCCGAGAAGATGGCGCGATACTGTGTGATGATGTCAAAGAGATGGACGCGGCAGGCCTCGATGGTCTTGGTGATGTGGAAGTAGGGGTCGTCATCAGGGATGGAGGCTTGGATGGAGTGGAGCCAGGCGTCCCGGGCCTGCAGAAACTTGATGCGCAGTTCGGCCTCCGTGAAGACATCCATGCGCCGCAAGTAGCCAATGACACGCAGGCAAGCAGGCAGCTGGATATTAGTGCGCAGTTGCTGGATCAAGTGATTCAGCATCAGCTGTGAAGACTGATGCACTTCGTCCACAATGCCCTAGAGGCAGGGAGAGAGAGACCTGAGCTATGAGACAGTCCACCACAGCCTCAAGCTTCATGCCCCAAACCTGAACTCCAAACGTCACCCCCCCAAACCACACTCCTCTCAGAGCAAGACCCCACCCACTGCGTGGAGGCGAGTCAACCCATGCCAGCCACCACCTGAGGAGCTCATCCCAGACCCAGGGGCTGCAGCCCCCCAGCATGGGCAGCACTATTGGGACGAACCTGGACGACGGGGATGGAGGAGTGTTTCCTCTCCAGCCGGCGCACGTAGGCAGCGAGCTCCAGGGCCTCCTCGTAGTAGCCGTTGCGGACGCAGGTGTCCATCAGCTGCGGGATCTCCAGAATCTCCAAGATCTCCGTGTGCCGGTTCAGGGTCAGGCTGTTCATGCGGCGGCTGGAGGCGATTTCCTCGGCGTCCCGCAAGAAGCTCCTGCCGGAGGAAAGGAGAACTCAGCCCCGCCCCCCCCAGCCCCGGCCCCCCCGGCCCCGCCCCCCCAACACCCCGGGCCAGGGCCCCCCCCGGGCCCACCTGCAGGTCTCCTGGAAGCCGGGCAGCCGCCCCAGGAGCCGGGCCAGGCCGCGCTCGATGCCCCCGAAGCCGCGGCCCGTCTCGCTGGTGCACTCGGCCGAGCGGATGAAGATCTTGTAGTGGGCGAAGGCCAAGTGCCGCGTCTGGGCGGCGGCCAGCGCCCGCTCCTCGGCCAGGCGGCCCGGCTCGCGGCCCAGCGCCTCCAGCCCCAGCCCCGCCAGCTCCGCCAGGTACCCGGCCAGCTCCGGCCCTGGCGCCGACCCCGGCGCCCCGCGGAACAGCCAGGCCAGCAGGCTGGCCTCCTCCAGGGCCGCGCCGGCCGCCGCCATCTTGGGGAGAGCGCCACGACACGCAGGTACGTGCTATCCACGGGGCGCCGGACTCTATGGTGTGGGGGGCACTCTACCCCGCCTCTCGGCAACTCTACTGCTCTGGAGACACTTGGTCTAGCGCCCCCTACAGCTCCGCGAACTCAAACCCGGAACGCGCGTCCCTCCGACTCTATGGCACTGAGCGGGGTACGCTGGCCCCACCCACCCCGGGACGCTCTATGTTCCAGACTCTACTAGCCCAGGGCTGTTTCCGGTTCCGGGCTGTCCCCTCCCCCACGTGGAGCAGTGCCCTGACTAAGCCCGGAGCTGCCGGGTGCGGCGATGCGGCCCCTGACGGAGGAGGAGACCCGGGCCCTGTTCGAGAAGCTCGCGAAATAGTGAGGCGGGGCCGGGGTAGCCGGGGGGGACTTGGCCTGGCCCGGGGGGGCTGGGCGGAGGTGGGCCTGGCCCGGGATAGCCGGGGAGAGGGCCCGGGGAGGGGGCTGGGCGGAGGCGGGGTTGGCCCGGGGTAGCCGGGGGGGAGGGGCTGGGCGGAGGTGGGCCTGGCCCGGAGTAGCCGGGGGGGAGGGGCTGGGCGGAGGGGGGCTTGGCCCGGGGTAGCCAGGGGGGGAGAGGCTGGGCGGAGGGGGACTTGGCCCGGGGTAGCCGGGGGGGAGGGGCTGGGCGGAGAGGGACTTGGCCCGGGATAGCCGGGGAGAGGGTCCGGGGTTGGGGCTAGTGGCCCGTCCCGGGACCCACCGCTCACGGTCTCTCTCCCCACAGCATCGGCGAGAACATCCAGCTGCTGGTGGACCGGCCCGACGGCTCCTACTGTTTCCGCCTGCACAAGGACCGGGTTTACTACGTCAGGTGGGCGGCGCAGCCGGGCTGGAGGCCCCAGGCCACAGGCGCAGGCTCCGCAGCTGCCATTGAAGTGACCGGTTCTGCAGACTGGGCCCTGCTGCGTCGGGGCAGGGATTGGGCCCAGGGCGCTCGGTCTCCTGGTCCGTTCCTGGAGAGGGCGGGGCTGATGCTGCTTGTGACTGCAGGTCCCCAGCCAGGTTGCCCCGCCCCCTCCGTGCCTCTGGCTGACAGTGGGGGGCCTGGCGCTGGCTAAACCTTCTCCTTTAGGTGTTGAGGTTCTCTGGGAACTAATCACACGTTGGCTGCGTTTGCTCTTTCCTAGTGAGAGAATCTTGAAGGTGGCGACCAGCATCCCTGGGGACAAGCTGGTGGCACTGGGCACCTGCTTTGGGAAGTTCACCAAGACCCAGAAGTTCCGGCTCCACGTCACTGCCCTGGATTACCTGGCTCCCTATGCCAAGGTGAGAGGCTGGCTAAGGAGACGCTTTCAGGCAGCAACCTGATCCTTGGTCATGTTTAGCAGCACTGGGGTGCTGTGCTCCCTGTAAGCTGCTCCTTGAGCAGCCCAGGAGGCATTGAAGTGCTGCCCAGCTGATTAGCACAGAGGTAGCATGTGCTCAGGTGCCCCTCCCCCCATGTTGCTCCATTCTGCAGCTGCTCACAGGACCCTCCTGCTGGCTGTGCAGAGCAGGGGTGGGGGAGGGTGCTGATCCCCCCTCCCCCAGCCCCTGTACCCCATCTCCGCAGGGCTGAGGGGACATAGCCTGGCTCAGAACTCAGAGCTTCTGCAGGGAAGGGTGAGTGACTGAGTGCCTTTCTTTAAAGAGAGTGCACTGTTTCTGAGACTTCCCCAGCAGCCAGCTCACACAGTCTGTCTCTCTCCCCACCCATGTGCCCCATTCTCCGCAGGGGAGGGGAGACAACAGGGCTCAGGACAGAGCAGGAGAGCTTTCCCTGGGTGCCTTAAAGAGACAGCATGGAGCATCTCTCAAAAACTTTCCCACCAGCCAGCACACACACAGTCTGTGTGACACACAAACGCTGTCCCTGTGTTGTCACACACACCTCCCAACATATACTTATATTATTGTTGTTACTTCTTGCAATGTACATATATTCTCTGTAATTTTATTCTTTCAAAGTGTGTTTAGTGTTTTGACTGGTCTATGCATTTCATTTTTTTCTTACTACTGAAAGAATTAAATTTAAGTGTGAGTTCTAAAATGCCTAACCTGTCCTGGCTGGAGTAATTATCCCTCTTTAACTTTTAAAAAATACTATATCTAGGTTTCTTGTTTCTACAGGTGCACATATTTATTCCACACATGGAAAAAATTAGAGGGAACCTGGGTGGGAAAAGGGTGTAATATGTCTGCAGACCCTATAACTAAACAAGATGAACCAATTCTTCCTCATACTCATTTGCTCTTACGTTGCGCATATCCCCTACCCTGTGTCACTCTAGATTGTATGCATGGAGTGTCTCTTTAATAGATTTATACAGTGCCCAGGACAGTGGGGCCTGATCCTGTTTGAGGTCTTTAGGTGCTACTAACTATTTACTGCTAATATTTCCCTCCCTACTCACTCCCCTTGTGGCACTGGAGCTGTCTCCAGTCTCAAGTGTCTGCCTTCTGGCTCACCCTACATGCAGGAAGTAATCTGCTTTCTGTGGGCTTCCCTGGCACTAACCCCCACTGGCCTCAGCCTCTGGTCCCCTTACATAACTGCATGAAGAGCAAAAGGAAACAACAGCCTGTTACAGGTCTTCCCTGTTGTCTCCCATGCCCCAGATACCCTACTGGAGCCTTGCTTCATAAGGTGGTATCACCTGTGTCTCTATCCTTGTGCCCAGTTGCATGAGGAATAACCTCGTAGGTTCAGCAATAAGTTTAACTTGTGAAGATTTGGGTGAGCAACTGCTGTGCCTCCTGAGGCTGGGTGCTTTTCTCTTGCAGTATAAAGTGTGGGTGAAACCTGGAGCAGAGCAGTCCTTCCTTTATGGGAACCACGTGCTGAAATCTGGCCTAGGCCGCATCACCGAGAACACAGCTCAGTACCAGGGTGTGGTGGTGTATTCCATGGCCGATGTTCCTCTGGTAAGTGACAGTGCTGGTAGGGGAGTGGATTGTTCTTCAGAAAACAGTGATGAACTTGCTTTGAGCAGAGCAGTGTTGATACAAGTGGGTGCCTGAGTTTCACTATTCTTAATTCCCCAGGGTTTTGGAGTAGCAGCAAAGTCTACCCAGGACTGCCGGAAAGTGGACCCCATGGCGATCGTAGTGTTTCATCAGGCTGACGTTGGGGAGTACGTGCGGCATGAGGAGACACTTACTTAAAGGGCAGCCAGCAGCACAAGGCTCTGAGGACTCAGCTGCACATGGCAATGAAGCGTGTTGTGAAATCAGAACTCAAAGCAGCAGCAGGGAGCTCGCCTGGGATGGGGCTTTGCAGGCTGCTGTGGAGGATTACAGACCAGTCTACCTGTGACTTAGTCATAACTATTGTGAGCTCTGAGGAGTGCCTGTCCCAGCCTGAAGGAGACAGGGATTACATAAAACGTGTTTTCTATCTAATAAAAACCATGTTGGTGTGGCCTAGTGAAAGAACTCAGCTACTTAGTCCTAAGCTCTGCCCAGGAACAGCTCTTACGCTCACAGACTAAAGGCAGTTTTCTCAGTAGTAGCTGCGGAGGGGGGTAGATCACCTTAATGCAGCCACCTACTCCCTCCATGGGTGCTAGGGCAAGCTGGAAGTTCTGTGTAGCAGGAGACGGAGGTGAACACGGCTGTTTCAGTCAACAGGAACAAAGTGATTCCTCCCCTCCCCCAGGATTGTTTCTGCCTTGTTCCCCAACAGAGACCCAAGTACAGCGAGAGGGGGAGCTGACAGGGTTGTGCAACTGGAGGACACCATGACCACACCCCCGGGGCTAATCAGAAGCCGTGTAGGTGGGTGCTGTAGCAGTGGCTTCCGTGCCAGGGAGCAGCCCTGGTTCCTAGAGGATGGTGGCTTCAGACAGGACAGTGCTTGCGCAGTGTGAACTGTTTCTTTTATTTATAATATGTGAACAGCTTTTCAAGCCATTTCACTATTAGACCATTGGGCAGGTTAGGCCTAAACCAACAGTGAACCATCCCCTCTCCCTCCCCCCAAAATGGGTCTTGTGCTACAGGCCGAGTAGAGAATAAAGATAAGATAAAGAGCCAGCTGGACGCTAGGGCATTGAGGGGAATTCTGTACCTGAAAAAATTCCCCAGTCCAGCTCCTTCCACAGGTAGGATCTCCCATTCTTCCATGGAGGCGGAGGGGAGAAAGGATGAGATGGAGTTCAGTGTGCTCTGCAGTGTTACGGGCCTGTCCTGTGGTCCTTCCTGCTGCTTGGGTCCAGCAGTGGTGTAAGCCAGAGGCCTTAGCACCTCGGTTTGTTGGTGGCAGTAGTGGGCTGCACATTGAAGAGCCGCTTTAGGAAATACAGCTGCAGGACACCCGAGAGGACAATGACGAGGCTCTGAGCCAGTGACCACCAGTTCACGTAGTTATAGTTGGACTGAAGGATGAAATAGTCAGCCGCTTTCCTCATCCGGGCAAAGTTATAAAAGCGCCACATGTGGAAGACGTGGGCCTGCAGCTTGCGGGTGCTCTCCTGCAATGAGCACAAGGACAGGTAATGAAATCCTTCTCCCAACCCTTGATTAGATTGTGGAACTCAATGGCACCAGGTATCACCGAGGCCAAGAACTTGACCCTATCATGCTAACTGTTTTGGAAGAGCTTTAACTATGTGCTTCAGGACTCAAGACAACCTCTAGTAGTGGGGGTTGGGATGAAACCTTTGTGGGGACATTATCCCACATCTGCCTTCTGCCAGGTTTCTTGAATATTCCTGTGAAGCATCTGGTGCTGGCCACTGTCAGGCAGGATACAGGGGTAGATGGACCTTAGGGCTGATCTGGTCTGGCAGTTGCTAAGTTCCTATGAGAACCAGTAAGGGGAAGAATGGAAGCCCCACAGACCTCCCACAGAGCCTGCAGGAACAGATCTTTCATCATTTGGGATTGAATGACAAGAGCAGGGTGGTTCAGGATTGATACATTCCATCCAGATCCCCAGCAGTCAGCCCCATCCGATTTCATATGCCCCACTGACAGACCTCTCCCTCAGCCACCCTTCCTGTTTTTCACACAACCCCGTGACCAAAAGCAGCACTGTATTCACACGCTACACATACTATGGGTTGAACATAGGCCCTGTGAGGTATCACTTGGAAACTAATAACTTGCTTGTCAATATCCTGGTGAGATGTACACAACATATGTAGAGTTATGAATTCCCCTGTACGGTGGTGATAGCACAGCCCTGGCTAGGCAAAAGTTGTTTAGGACAGACCTGTTTAATACAGGAATGTGCACACCTCAATTTAGATCTAAGGAGTAAACAGGGTCCTTGAGACAACAAAAGGGGGAAATGGCAGGAGACAAGCTGCATTTCAGCATATACAGCGGAGAAGAACGCGCATGGAGCCACTTTCACCACCAGTCTCCATGTTGCTGCCTTTAGAGTTTGAATAAACGTTGCTTTGAGGGTTAATCCTCAGAAGAACCCACTTCAGAAGGTGGCTGGACTATAAAAGCAAGGGGCAAAACCACCCCAAAGCGCGCTCTCTCTCTCACCTAAGATGACAAAGGAGCCAACCCTTTGACTTTATCAGAGATCCTGACCTGAGAATTTGGTCAGCAATTTTGCTAAGGATTTTATCTTCAACCAAGTCTAGCTTCAGTTTTAGCTACTAGACAGTGCTTTATCTTTAGTTTTCTTGTAACCATTTCCGACTTTAATGCCTTGCACTCACCTAAAATGTCTTTAAAAAATAAAATGAGTTTCTTTAACTACAATCAGAACTAATCCAATGCTGTGTTTGGACTGAACTGTTTGGGTAACTCAAGTTAAGGCAGCAAACTTGCGTATTGACCCCTTAGAGGGGCAATGGATTTCTAATACCTGAACTGCTCAGCAGCGGGCTGGACAGCAGAACACGTTTTGGGGAAAATTCAAGACTGGGAGTGTGTTGGGGTCACCCTGCAGGTAGTAACCAAGCCAGAGGGTGACTGGAGTGTTGCCGACAGGCTGCTGGGCCCGTTGGCTACACACAGTCAAGGTGTGACCTGCATGCTGTTTGGTCGGCCCAGGTTGGAAGCTACAGCAGCAAAGCATTGTGAGGCCCCCAGGGCTACAGGGCAGGCAGTGACACAGCTACTCATTGATCTGGATTGCACCCCAGAATGTGACACCCCCCCATTCCTGGCTCTCTCCAGAGCCAAGTGTCTGACTGATTTAACACTACTCCAGTTGCTGCCCCATGTGTGTTTCCTGGGAGCAGCAGTTATCCTTAGCTCCCCATTTACTTCCATGTGCCTCATTTTCAAAACCAAGATGCCCGTTTGAGCTTGCTTCAGCCCTGCAATTGATTAAATAAATTTATAAATTAAATAAATAAAATTAAAAAAAATAAGTAAAAATTTATTCCAAGGCAGCTGACGGTGCAAATAAAACATTACCTCAATTGCCTCCAGTGTGTCATTCATTTTCTTCCTTTCCATGTCTGGCGAGTTTTGTAGGTCAAAGCCTTCATAGAACACACCAAAGTTGAGATAAACCTGCACGACACCGAAGTGGTTGAGCCGATTGCTCAAGCACAGCTGGTAAAAACCTGTAGAGGGAAGTGGTTCGAAGCATCAGAGGAGAGCAACAGGTGCTGTGACAGTCAGACATTACCCCAAATCCTCCGCTCTGTTAGCTCCCATTTACCCCTTCTCTGCAGCAGAGACATGGTCTCTCTGAGCTTAGCAGCTGCAGAAAAGCTTGGTTGCCTGTATAGTCAAGTTCTGAGCTCAGTATCACACATGCTGTGTCTAGCAAGACTTTTACAGGACTATGGCTTAGATCATTAACGATCTGCAGGAGGATTGGAGTAGTCCAGCTCTCATGCGGGCCAGGGAGGTAGCAGGGGTGGCAAGAACCTGTCTCTTTGGTGGGGAAGTTCATCTGTCCTCGTACATCCTGGGACGTGCCCATCTGGAGGCCGCTGGGATCGTTTGCAGTGGCCAAGACGTGTCTGTCATGTCCAATTCCTGAAGTCCGTTGTACCTGAAGCCAAGAGACAATGAGCAGAAGAGGGAACTTTGGGTGCAGCTCTGAGTTCTAGCAAAGAACAAGCCTGACCCATGCTGTCCTCAGAAATTCCCATGGGAACAGATGGGGCCGTGTTGCTTATAAAGGCAGCAAAGCCCATTACCGTTCTCAGTGGCAACTACTACACAGCTAAACTCACCTCGAGTGGGTGCCCGTGAGTTTACGGGAGCCACAGCGTCCTAAGCAGACCAGACAGGCTATGCAGAGGCACCACCTGGAGGAACAAGCACGGGACTGGGAAAGTCCTGGCTCTCCACAGTGTGTGTGGCTGGATGGTTCAGTTCCTGTCAGTGAAATGGGGAGAAATCTTTCACCCTGCAGAGTGGTAGCAAAGAGCCTCCACCTGGCAGCTGGTCACTCAGGGCTAGCTCCAGGGGACGCAGGCTCAGAAAGGAAGGCTGGGGCAAGCAGAACCTGCTGAGTCTGCTTCCTCCTCTGCCCATGTCAGAGCAAGGACACCAAGGATTTTGCCGTTTTGCGCTGTACAGGGTAATTCTCCTCTCCTGCAATCCCCTTTCTCTCCCCAACCACTTCGTTTGTGTACTGAGCCGTGCCACGGCTAGTAGAGATCTAGCTAGCACAGGGTTGGCCCCCCAACATGTTCCATGACTGGGCAGTGGATTCCCTTCCCTCCATGTACAGTCAGCCCCCAGCGGGAGCTGTGTTATGGTTCAACCCAGCCCTCCTTGCCCTTTACGCGTGCAGCAATCAGTGCTCCCAGCCGCACACCTCCCCTGCTTTGGAACAGGCTGAGAGAAGGGCGGGGGAGCACCTTGGGCTTGAACGCCAGCTCAGTCCACCGAATCCTTGAACAGCTCCAACCCCTCTACCTACAGCCCAGCTGCTTTGCTCCACACGCACCACAGATAAAGGGAGCAGCTGATAAACACGAATAGTGCCAAGAGTGCCAGGCACAAACTTCCAGATCTACTTCAATCGGCCCAGTGTAAACAGAAGCTGGGAAGTCGCAGGGTTTAAGATAAGAGGATTGGAGGGCTCCATCCCAGGCGGGAGCCCAGTACCTAGCACTGACGATACACAACCACGCAGCAAGAGACCTCGGATACTCCTGCCACTCGCAGCCCAGGGGACAGGAAGGTCTCCTGTTGTGAGTGCTCAGCTGAGTTCATGCACTGTGGAACCTCCTGCCAAGTGAAGATCCAACTAACACTGGATGCTGGCTACTAGCACTCACCCCTCTGCTACCGACTTGGCAAAGTTCCCTAGCAACCTTCGGAACAGCACATCCTCCAGAACCAGGAGACGTTCTTCTCCACTGAGGTCAAAGCCAAAGCCAGGAGTTGCCTGAAGTAATCACTAGTTGAGCCTCTAATAGTCACCACAATACAATCAAGTTCAAGCTTCCTCAACAGAGGGGAGGGCCCCAGGAGCAGCATGGTGGGGCCTTAACCTTTAGGAAGGGGGAGTTGAAAAGAAATTTAGTCAAAAAGGCCCTAAAAACCGAGTCCTGAGACTCAGCCTCGAGTGAGGTCACGAAAAGGCAGGCAACTCCCCTGAACAAAACAAACAGGAAGGGGAGCTGGGGGGCGGGGTAAGAGTCTGGCTAATGAGGTTGAAGAGGTTATTTGAGCCCCCTCTTGTTCAGGGGAAAGAAATCCAACTCCAGTGAAGTCAATAGAAAGGAGAGTAATCCATGGCATTCAGAGTGAAAATGGAAGTCAGGAGGGTTAAAAGGGGATGTTTCAAGTATGGCTGAGAAAAATATGATGCCATTATACGAATCACTAATAAACCATCAGCTAAAAAGAGAGAGACATCAGAGCTTCTGTTCCCCCTCTCATAACATAGGGGACATTCAATGAAATGAAAGAGAGCAAAATGCAAAACTAACACGAAGCAAACGCTTCCACCTGCGAGATTAGACTGCGGAACTCATTGCCAGAGGATGTTGCTGTTGCCAAGAACTTAGCAAGATTCAAAAAGGGATTGGACAATTATATGGGTAACAAGAATATCCAGAGTTACAATAGTTAATGCTAACTAATTTTGAAGAGACAATAAACCTCGTGCCTCAGGATTTAAACCCATCTCTTTAAGGAATTAGGAAGACAGCTAATATGTCTGTGGGGAGGTGATGAGACGATCATCCCACACCTGCCTAATACAAGGCTGCTTCCATCTTCCTCTGAAGTATCTGGCTCCGGCCACTGTCAGAGATTGGGCACTGGACTAGAGGGCAGCTCCTGTGTGCTACCAGGACAGAACACCGTCCTCATCGCCTTCCTTCAAGGGCGAGAGCAAAAATCGAGGGGTTCAGAGGCAGGGATGGACGTTTTGAGGACAAGAATGGGACTGATCAGTTCAAAGAAGACATTAGAAGGGACAAAATAGAGGCGTGGAGAAGGTAGGTCGGGCACTCCTATTCACACCCGCTCAGCATACAAGAGCAAGCAGACATTGAAAGTGAAAGGCAGCAAGTTGATACAGAAGATACCATTTTTAAAAATTCTGAAGCCAGAAGGGACCATTTAGATCATTTAGTCTGATAAAAAATATATATATATCTTTAGCTAGTCGTTTGGAGTGGGATTAGAACCAGCAGCTGCCAAACTCCAGGGGAAATTGAGTGCTCCAAAGAACCCAGCACCCCAGACAGCTGGCCATCCTGATAGCTGGAAAGATTCAGGAGTTTGTCTTTTTTTCAGTTGGGGATCTTGTGTGTGCACAATGTAAATGTTACACTACAGAAACTACCTGCAATGTTTTACACAATGGACGTTTAACCTGTGGAACTCACTGCTGGAAGAGCTCATTGAGACAAAGTTTAGGATTCAAAAAAGGTTGGAGATTTAAGCGAACACTGAGAGCATCCAGAGTTACACTAACGAGGATTTTGTAAAGTAACTGTTTTGGGGAGCTATAAGCCCTCCTGCTTTAGGACATAAACCAGCTACTGACTGACAGCCTCTCTCTAAGAGCAGGTTATTGCCTAATCGTTGACTACAGGATTCATTCTACCTTCCCCCTGAAGCAGCTGGTACTGGCTATTGCCAGAGACCATGACAGCTGGATCCACTCTGGCAATTCCTCCATTGGATATGCAGCTGTCTGGCTGCGGGAAGTTCTTTATTTTACCAGGAAATTCCACTGAGCTGAAAACCTGCCATTTGCAAGAGTCCTCCCCAGCACTCACCTCATAGCTGAAGTAGAAGTATCCGCTCTGATGTGCAAACTGCCAGAAGCACTCTGTGCCACCTGCAGGGACAACAATGGCGAAGTCATAGCGATCAGCTCCACGGAAGAGAGGCTGTTCACTGGAGCCACTCAGGGGCTCGGTCTTTGGGCTCCTGGCAGGGCCTGTCAGACTAAGCAGACCCACAATCACAGCCAAAGGAAAGAGTGGGACCATGCTGCCTTGTGAGCCTCCACCCCTCTGGCTGGGGCAGAGCAGGAGCATGGGTCCCAGGATGCAAGGGGATAATCATTAACTTCACTCCTCACTCTCTGCTTTTGCCAAACATTTTCCCTTCAGCACACAACACAGCTGCACTTATCCAAACATCAGAGGCACTTGGAAGGAGTTCAACTCCTCAAGGTAATCTCAGTGCAATTACCAGGCCTGCATGGGCAGTTGTGCAGTTTGTCCTCATTAGAGCTTAACCGTCTGAAACATTTTGTAAAACCTTTGAAGAACCGTCACTAGGTACAAACGGTCCTTCCTGGGGAACTGCTTGTTCTGGGGGCAGGCTGGGTGTCCTGCACTCAGACTTCTGTCGACAGCCCACACCATGGTCTGAAGGACTCTATTATAGTGATTAGTGTGTTAAAACATTCCTAGAAACTTTATTTAGCACAAGAAATCTAGACACTGATCACAGAGCAACAATATGCCAGAGAAGACCCAGGGACTTGGCTACATGGGCTGTGTGCCCTACATCTTCCACTACCTTATGCTGCCATCCCATCTGGGTGCTGCAAGATAGGTCCTGTTTCATCTTTGACTGTGACTTCTCTTCTCTTATGGAGTCTGTGGCAATGTCCTCACTCTGTAAATGGGAAAGGGGCACCACTGGCTGGAAAGTGTTCTATTGCATAGAGTGGAAGGCAAGCAAAGGGCTGGTATTGATATTTGGATGTGGGATGATATTTATTCTCATGCCCTCGTATGGCACAAGGAAGAAAGTGTCCCATGTTTCTCCCACTGACACTTATTAATCTGGTTTACTGTAACTGGCCCAAATGGAACTACTAAACAGGGGAAACACTTCACAGCCAGGCCACTCAAGCACAGAGGAAAGTTTCAGAACAGAAGAAAATATAAAATAAACAGGGCAAAGGGCAGGGAGAAAGTCTGGCTAATAGCAAAGTTGAAGAGGTTACTTGAGCCACTTGTATCCAGACAGCCAGGAGTTCCTCTGGTGAGGTTCCTTCCAGCAAGCGCTAGTGCCAAAGGACATGGCTAAGGCAAGCAGGGGACCAGAGGACCCAGCACCAGTGACAATGGAAGCAGCTCACAGGACCCCTGCTGTTGGGGTATTTCTGCAGCTAGAACCGAAGGAAATTAAATGCATGAGTGTTGGTGGAAGCGAGGGGAAGATGATACATAAGTGCCTCTGAAATCCACTTGTTCCTAATAAGCAGCAGCATCCCACCGGATAGGGGTACAAGACTTTCTGGCACTCCAATTCAGTTAGTTGCTGATGCGATGCTCCCGGCTTCAGCTGGCTCAGGAAGTGAATGCAGGATGAAATTCTGGTTGTTAACAGGGTGTCCCACAAAGCTGTCACTAGGCCACTGACCCAGGGATATGCCAAGCTTCTCCCTTTTCAAGGTGGAATATTTACCTGAGGAGGGAATGCTGGGGAGATGCAAATCAAATTTGTTGCAATTGTTATATCCAACACAGGAACTGCTTTATTTTACATGATGGGTTCAGACATGGGATCGGACTTGGCATTAGAAGGCAAGGCATGTCTGGGGCCTGCCAGAGATCCCCAGAGACCTTTCAGAGATAATGCACTATTCCAGGAAACAGACACAAGGAAGGGAATTTTGCGAAGAAGGAGGCAAGTCAAACCAACTAAACACTAACTTTTAACTTGATATCTGGCTCCAAACATTCTAGAAACTAATGAGCACAAAGACAAAACAAAACATCTATTTTAAAGCATCAAAAAAATGTGGAGGAAGAAATCCCCACTCAATATAAAAATGTACAAAGCAGAGAAATGTGGAAACAAACGCCAGTCCCCTTGCCAAGAAACCAGACTTCTGCCGGTGCAACTCAGCAACAGCTCAGCCTACACTGCTGCTTGCCCCTCTGGGAGGGGCAGATGGAGAAAGCCGATCAGCCAAGTGATTCACAATCGGTTTAAGAAAATGAATATAGATAAAACAGTCGGTGACAGGATTATCCTGCCATTCAACCAGTGTCTGAGTAGAGAAAGCTGCGACCCAGCTACAGGCCACTCAGGTTCCAGCTCGAATGCTCATAGGGCAAAGGCTGCCAGAGTCCTCGCTGTTTCTGAACATATACAAAATGTCAGCATTGTAGCACTTTTACTAGACTATTTCCAGAGTTACTCAGGCTGTGTTGCTTCGGTTGACAGACAAAGACCTAAATTTAGTGACTCCAGCTAAATACAAGAACTAGGAAGGTGTCCCAAGCTCTAGTTAAACTTTGCTTCTTCCAGCTGTAGCATTCAGCTCTCCCAAGCAGCCATAACAAGTCTTCACATCATTCCTATCACATTGCTAGGAAGGGGACTACAAGCTTCCTCCCATGACAGTTGTTGCTTTGGTCCATCTTTTGGAGAGAAATGAGAGCAAGTGTCACTCTAAAAGTTCCTCAACTGCAGTTTTCAGTGGAGTCCCAGCTTTTTCATGGTCCGCCAGCGATCCTTAATCATCACCGAGGTGCGATTCTCAAAGGGGAACTTTTTGCAAATGATTTTCCAGTTCCCTTCTCCAAACTTCTTCACTCCTTCTCTGATCCACTCGCTTTCCTGCACTGTCCACCTCTGCAAAAGAAGAACAAGGGGTGTCATGACTCTTAAGGCACAGGTCCTATCACCTCTACACTAAAGGCTTCTTAGCCTCCTTGGTCCCCCTTACATCCATACTATCAGCACCTTCTTATAACATAGGAATAAGGCACAGGTACCTCGCCAATAACTCCAAGGTACCCAATGATCACTCCATTCCAGAAGAATTGTTACAATGGTTATATACCAGGAAAATACTATAGCTGAAGTTCAGGATTAGTTCTGTTTCCCACATCACAGTGTAGATTACACAGGAAATTCTCAGGAGTTATTGCTCTTGTATCCTCCAAGTAATCATGGAGAGAGTGTGGAAGTTACATGCCCTGTGCAACGTTCATACAAGTAAAGAGAACTAACTACCTGCGGCTCATGGAAGGAAAGTGCTGCGTTCAAGGGCACTGTGAATTTCAGTGACAGGAGGCCAAGTATAACGGAAGAGGTGAACCACAGGAAAGCAAACACTGAAAGATGTACAGGTAGTATAAAAGTGAACACCCATTCACTTGTCAGAAAGTTGGTTACTGCAGGCATCAGATTTTGGAGCCTTTACAAGGCAAATGCTGCCAGGTGACAAACTCTGTGTGTGGTGCCACTGGCATGCACCATGCTTTTTCACTGCATGGAAAATCCGACGGACCCAGCTCCAAACAATTGGCATCAGACAAAAGGGGGCAAGTAAGGAGGATTCACTCAGGAGACACCAACCCCGGCACCTCCTGAAAGAGTATTTATATTTTTAATACTAGCTGCAGGCTTATTTAGGAATGATGTGGTTTCTAGGATGTGTTCTGGTTCTCCGCCTCTTCAGCTCACTTACCTGCTGAGCGGTTCAGGAAGCAGATGCCAGCCAGGATAAGCGGCACACAGTATTTTAGGCCTCTACCACTTTCCTGGCTTTTAGTGGACAAACTTAAGCCAGGCCCTCTCAATTTAAAGATCCGTGCAACCCAACTCACCCCCTTGTAAGTTCAAAGCTTAGATAATGCAAGCATTGATCAAGGTACTCCAGTCCCTTAGTAAATATCATCTGTCAGTTCAGCATCTCAGAGTTCTCCATTCAGTGTGCATCAAATCACTTGGACTCTTCTACCTGAGCTGATACCAGAGGCTAAGAAATCTCTGAACAGCAAAAGGGATTTCCCCTTTCCAACCTTTTCTATTGCTTCACTACCCCTGCAGAGCCCTGCTTTGGGCTGCTGAACGGAGCTGGAGGGCTCTATATTACCTGCTTCTTGGAACCGAGGATTGAAGAGCTGTGGCTATTTCTCCCAGGGGACTCTGAAAAATAAACCCAAGGAGAGTCATATTTCAGCATTCACCTTCTGCTACGCATGTATCTCCCAGAGAGACTGGCTTTAGCTGGCTCGATTACAGGGAGAGAGCGGCATGGCCACCAGGGGAACACCCTTGGCCAGGGTATGGAAAATAGAAACAAATGCCCTTACTTCCTCTAGCTTCTAGAATTCCACATACTGAAGGGACACTTGGCCATTCTGATCCAAGCCCTGGTTACTCATAAGAAGTGTAACTAAAGAAATATAATAACTAAGACGGCGTCAAAAGGAATTAGACTTGTCTCAGGTTAGCGAATGTGTCTAAGAAAAAAAAAAAGAGGACAGCCTGAGCCCAAAAGCGTCCTCAATAGAAATCCCTGTTCCTAAATGGAAGCATGTTCAGGCCACAGCAGGGAAGGTCCCAGATGTTAAACAGCATCCAGAAGAAAAGTCTTAGCGGTGATTAATTGCACCTTTTGAAACAAGCATGCAAATGCTGATCTGCCACCCTACAGCTGTTAATGGGAAGGAACTGCTTTTGGGCTGGGTCTCAAACTAGAATAGCTGACAATGACTGACAGGTCTGAAGCTGTAACGAGAGGGTACTTGCTAGATGTTCCATGATCAGGTACACAATGGATTTAGCAACATCCCATTGTTTGGGCCCGCCTAAGAAAGGACATCATCTCCGTTTCTGCAGTCTTATAACGGCAACCGTAGTCCCAAGCTTTCCAGGGTTATGGGATTTCTAGACTTTTGGTTTCTGTCAAGGATTCAAGGCAACAGAGTGCCCCAGGGCCAACAGCATGGCTGGGACCAGCAATTAAAGAGCGTGCATGGCAAAAATAGCATACTTACTCTTGTCCAGGAAGAGCTCATCTTCCTCACTCCATGTGTCCTTTTCTTCTTGCCCATTCGAGGTGTTCCATCTTGCTTTCAGTGGCCTGAAAACACACAACACACATTTTAACTGCAACAAGCCAGCCTGGTTAATGAGGACTGAAGAGACAGTCACTGCAGACAGCTAAATCACACATCCAAAAGGAACACAGACCACTGACTAATTACCTAGAGGCCACTGGTAAAACGGTCCAGGACCACCTTGGTACCAATGAGTCAAGACTAAGATCAGTATGCAGCACTGGGAAATGTGGGAGCTTGCCTGACAGCTGGATTATGTAGGTTTGCTTCACCTCCACAACACATGCATCTTAGTCCACTGCCATCTGACTGGTTTTGTAGGTAAAGGGTGCCATATGTGTATGTCTGGCATTCAAAGCCACTCAGTGC